ACACATCGTGGTGTGTGGCCATATCACCTATGAATCAGTCAGCCATTTCCTGAAAGACTTTTTACATGAAGATCGTGAGGACGTTGATGTAGAAGTTGTTTTTCTACACAGGTAAAGTATACATAATGCTCCTGCCCAAAGTCATCTTCAGGGCAGAAAGGTTACGTGCCATGTCATTGGGGAATGAGCTTTGGCAAGAGGACTCCTCACTACCTCTCAGTTATTAGGTATTGGAAATATCTGGTATTAGACACGGTGTACAGTTCTCTACCAATATTTCGACAACTATTGGTATTTCTGTTGATACAATACTCTCAATTCACCTATCCTTTAAATCTGGTTCTTACGATTAAACATCAATACTTAGCTTTTTTTAAATAAGAAAGAAAAATATTGTATGTCATGCATTTTAGGAATAATTTTATAACACAAATTTCAGTACAGTATACAGTGCAGGTATTTCTTACTTTTTTAAAAATATGAATCGGCTTCTATACCAGCGTCTATTTTACAAACAAATGTAATGCCATCTTCAAATAAATAGGTACAGTAGTATCAATACATAGTACTCACATAACGTAACTTAACCAAGCCTAACTTAGGTAAAGTTTGATCAGGTTAAGAAATGAAAGGATGGCATTAATGAAATACTGTAGTAGTTTTCATTTAGGCATTAAGTTCCAAGGATTTACATCAGCACAAACCAAAAATAATCCAAATTGATCAAAAAGTCCATTGTGTTGCAAGGTAGTCAGATATATTGAGAGATTTCTAACTTTATAACAATGATCAGTGGCCTGAAGAACTTTATTATATAGCCAGCTACATATATAACTCCTTGGAATATAAGCGAATAATTAATTATTCAGAACCTACCCACTGTAACTAGAGCCTTGACAGGATCTTCAAATAGGCAGGAGTACCATTTAAAACAAGAGGGTCATTGGGCTCTTTACCACATAAGCAATAAGTGTCATTCCAATCCCTTGTCTTGGTTACAACATAAATCCATAACAATACATACAGTTCATGCCTTAGTGTCAGCCCAGTTGTGGAGCCCAATAATAATCTGCTTTAAATGGTAACTACTGTATATGTGGGAACTGTGTTGATACTCTAGTTGCAACAAAGGGTTCAGTATAACTATATGATTAGCCTCAGCTGATATTTCAAGAGGGTGTAATTTGGCGTTAATTGTATACACTTAACTTCTTACATATTCAGGCCACTCTGTCAGGTTTTGGTTATAGAACTGGGTTTCAGGATCAATCCCATCATATTTAAGATTGGTAGTTTAATAATCTCTCTTATCCTTTATCCATAAATTTAGTACACAACATGATTTTTCATAATTTCTGTCTCAATAAGGATTGCTGTTAAAAATCATGCTACAGATTTTATTTTTATACCAATTACTTTTCTTAAGCACCAATAGCCAATACTAATACTCACGGAATAGGATTTAACTGTAGTATTTTTGTGTTCGGTTTATTGGTATCTTTCAATAAACATGGACATGTGTTGCCTTTGCATGTTGACCAGACCAGTTATAGTTGACAAATGAGAGTTAACACATAAGGAGAGATTCAGTATGGTTAAAGAATGTCTTTTTTAGCAGATATCAATATATAACTACACGGAGTATTATTACATTATTATTTCACCAAGTTGCTTGAGAGATTAGACTTCGTTTATCAAGGAAATCTGAAAATGTCAAATAAAAGATATGAATCATCATACAGTACAGTATGTGTAAAGTACATCAAAAAAGTTGTGAACTCTCTCACCCTTCACAAAAGTAGCCTATACACTGTGAATCTTTCTAAAATATTAACCACACTTTAAAGAAAAACTTATCCTTGATTTCCACACACACACAAAAAAGTAAAGTATACTGTATAACTTAACCAGGGGATTTCATATTATCCTTGGCACTGCCTGGCTGTATATGCTGTTCAGTGTACAGTGGTCCCTCGGTTAACGAACACAATTCGTTCCAGAAGGTCGTTTGTTAACCGAAAATTTCGTTAACCGAAACCATTGTTTCAATGGGATTTTGGGTAATTGGTTCCAGCTCACCGAAAATTACATACAAACTAAAAATAAATGCAGTAAAGTACACTTACTTTGAGGTGTGCATGTAGAAGGCTCCTGGTTGATGATGATGATGGGAATTAGAATGGGGGTGGAGGGGAAGGGAGAAGAGAAGGCATTTCACCCATAAAATTTTAGTTCACTTGGTGTAAATCAAGATTATTTTCTTTAAATCAACACTGCACTGCATTATATATTGTCAATATGTAAAATAAACTTCAGAATGACCATAATTGTACTGTAAAAACGTAAAAATAGTTTATGTTCAAGAGAGTCTCAAGCAAGAAGCTTCCTCTACTGAGCAGGAACACACACTGATGCCATTTTGGGTGAGTCAAGTGGCTGTTTGGCATGCTAAAAACTAGTTCCCTGTACTTCAATTATGTTAAATAATTGTTAAAGTGACTAAAAACTTTAATATAAGACTTGGAAAATTATTGAATAGTACAACCTTCTTGATATTTACTCACATGGTAACGAATTTAAGCCCTAAAACCGATTACGTACTGTATTGGCGGACTAATACTACAGCTGGTGAGCAGGCGAAAACATGTTGGGAAAAATTCGTAAGAAATTCATTAACCGAAATTTTTTCGTTAACCGAAGTGAAGAATCTAATGGAAGGTAATTCATTAACCGAAATTTTGTTAACCGAGGCGTTCGTTAACCGAGGGATCACTGTACAATATTTGTTTCTGAACCACTGTGTAGAACCATAGTGTTTTTATGTCAAGATCATCCCTTAGACCACCAGATGTCTCCTTTTCATGTAAGAAGCAGGGGTTTTGTGACATTTTGCAGTTATAAGTTATAAAATTATAAAATCAGAAGCCTGCTAAAGCTCATCACATGTAACCCAAGTTGTAAATAGTAAATCACGGACTACTGTATGTGGAAATGGAAAGTTCTTGTGGCTGAGGATAAGATACTGCCTGCCTTCACCGCAAGTAAGATTTGACTGCTGTCCCATTTTCTATTAAATTTTACGTTCAGAGATAATTTTTTTAATCAGTGCAAGCTTAAGATATTGCTAAATATTAGACTTTTTAACCCAACTCATGTAATATTGAAAGTCTGGGTTTGATACTAGAAAATAGTTGCATATCCATATAAAGTAGAATGATGCCATTGGCCATTATCATAGTAAGTGGCATTGCAACATTGTTTCTAGTAATCTGCAATTGATGCTAGGCATTTTTTATGACTAAATAACAGAGTAGTTTTTCTGTTTATACAAATTTTTTTTTTTCAATGGTAAGTCATCCAAAGTTTTGACTAACCTTCACTTAGCTTGCCTCAAGTTATAGCTGATGCTAGAGAACATGGACTGATTTGGTTTTCCTTTCGAATCTCTTTTGTTTTTATAATCAGCCATTTTCAAACGTTTAATGAAAAACTTTTGCAGGAACGAGCCCGATCTGGAATTTGAGGGATTGTTGAAGCGAAATTCCACATGCGTTGAGTTCTTTCAAGGGACAATGTTTAACTCTGTAGACTTAGAACGTGTCAAGGTACTGAACAATTTTCCTATATACTACTTTTATTTCCCCCCCTCTTTACCCTGCCCCATCTTATTCACCTCCAGTGCTGCTTCGTAAATATGAATCTTTCTTTTTCTTTTTATTATTTTTATTATTATTATCATGTTATTATTATCATTATTATTATTATTACTATTAGTATTACTATTACTATTATAGTTTACAGTAATAATAATAACAATAATGGTATATTTTTTATTATTATTATATTTATCATTATATTCTCTTTATTAATATGAATTCTCTATCATTTCCTAATTATTTCCTAAGCATGACTTCATTTTCTACATCACCTTTTCTTTCACTCTTGACTGATTCGGAGGTAGTGAAGACCTTTATTTTCCTCTTAGCTGGCTTGATTCAGGATCCATTGCACCTATTGGTTTGTTCGAGTCCAATACTCTTATACTCCTCTCGGTCATATGAACGCGGCCACAGTATCTTGTCGCATCGGAATGAGAAAGGTGTGTTTAGGAAAGGTAGACTGTTTTCGACTCTGCCTTTATTACACTAAGACTTATTATGTTGCGTTCAAAACTCCAAGTGAATGATTTTACTAGATGGTCTGCTTGCTAATGTAAATTTTTTTTTTTTGCATAAACAGATCTAAACTGCATATGCATATTGAGGAAAAGTTATGAGCTCGTCTATATGGTCATTCATATTATGTAAACATGGCTGCTTATATGTATTTCATTTGCCTCTTTGTATGGATGTTCATTCTAACTATGAGCTAATTATTTTGATTTTGAGCCTTTGCCTATAATGCTACTAAATCCATACTTATTTTGCAAGAGTCTGAACACTCCACCTTGCTTAAACCCCGCCCACAGTGACTATGGCTTGGGACCCATACTACATGATGCTCCAGCCGTCCGTATGTGCACATGGATTGTCTGTTGACCTTATGCAGGAGCGAAGCATCAGCAAATACCCCAGATGTTTATGCTGGAAACTTTCCACGCAATATCCGTGGAAAGTTAACCAGATATTCCTGCGTTATGAAAGTCCATAAGTTCCCAATAAACCTGTGTTATATCCCAACACACACAGTGTACACTCACCACTTTCATTAATACACTTAGACGCTAGCAGTTGGTGATGCACCTTAAACTTTACAATATCCAAGGGAATCATTGTCACTGCAACCATCAAATGAGTATCATTTTTTTATTTGTTTTTAATATATATTGCCATTAGCTGTTGATCAGTATGTAAAAAACTTAAGTTTTAATAATATGAGTTGAATATTAAATCATATTTTATTAAATACAGTATGCGTTTGAAATACCATTTTCTATCAGATCAAATTTACATTTTTAAAAGGAGTTAGTGATTTTGCAATCATTAGCAATATCAGTACATTTTATAGCAATACATATTGGTTTAACCCTCTCAGCTTGATATATTAATGTTAGGTCACAAGGAGCATCACAGTGCATTATGAAATTTTGAGCCTATATAGTACTGTTTTTTTTTTTCCTCATAACAGAGGAATTACCTTTCTTAAGCAATATTTTTTCTTGCAATATTTGATATTATCCAAAATTTCTGTACAGTATAGTCTGGATTTACGCGGTTTTTGTTTACGCTTTTGGTCATTTATGCGGTGCCTTGCCATAATGAAATGTTTTAATTATGCGGTAAATTTCATCATTTACGCGGAGAACGGCTGGAGAGGTCCAGACTGCCGCGTCATTTTTTACTCACGCGGTTCATTCTTGACCATACGCGGGAAGCGGCGCGGTGAGTGGTGCGCATTAGGCCGCTTTTACGTTATCGCTGATGTCATATGACGTATCGGAGTGTGATTGGGCCACGCATCCTTACCACCCACGCATTCCCTCCGCCGCTAGCTGTGATTGGTCTAATGTAACATGACGTGCCCTGCCACCAGAGGGTAGAAGTCGCTGACCTAGCCGGGCATGTCTCATTGTTCTCAGTCCGCGTATACAGTTCTCTCTTGTGCCCGCTATTCCCCTCACAATGGCTTCCGCGGGACCCCCACCACCCGAGAAAAACCATGAATTACCTGGACCAAGCCATGATAATGTGAAGGAAATCATCGAGTTGGGGAAAAAATTAAGCTCATCCTTGACAACGACCCAGACAAGCATCGGTATGAAGTGTCTAATAACCTTTTGTTGAAAGTTATGGAGCCATATATCCAGATCTATCTCGACAACATCAATGCTAGTCGTCAACGTAGTATTGAGGACTTCCTCGCCCGCAACCCACCACAACCACAGCCAGCCCAAGTCAGTGATAGTGACAGTGAGGATATGGACTTTGAGGGGTTTGTCTGGGAGGCCCTGCAAACCTCTGCGAGTAGTGAAAGTGAAAGTTATTCACCGGAGGGCAACTAATCTGCCCTCTGCCTCAGAACCAGCCGTCATCCACGTGTGCCGACCCAGCTTTTCTACTAACGTAAGTGTTAAAAAACCTAATATTATTGATATTTCTCTTAATTATTAATTGTGTGTGCATACCATCATAAAATTAAGATGTTATTTTTACTACAACGTACGTATTGTGTCGGAGAAAGTGGAGTTTGGGGGTCGGCCCAGTCTCTATTTCAATTAATCCCATATGTTCTGTTATTTCGTTTACGCTTTTCTCGTTTTACGCGGACCTCCACGGGTTCAATTGACCGCGTAAATGCAGACGATACTGTACTATGATAATTTTTTTTTAACATCATTAAGAATTATATAGTAACCCTTGCTATACTGTATGGTGTTACTGTGTCCCAATTGTTGCTGTAATACTGTAGTATAGCTAATTGCATTACTCGTGGACTTTAATCATCTAGACAAAACAGAAGTGCATTCTCAAGCCACAAAATCCATGCACTAGTGGCACTTAAACTTACACAGTGCCTCTGGGAAAATTTAGATAACTGTAGGCCCGCCTGTCTATACAAGTGCAGCACAGTAATTGGCCCTTGCCCTGTTCTCAGTCTTGAAAAAAATAATGATACAGATTAATTAAAAATTTTAATGATCATCTGAAGTTCAGCTGCCATGGTGAAAGTAGATTGGGAATTAGTGGTTGAGTACCCTGTTGCCTCATTGCTGACGAGTGAACCAGTATGCTTAATGATGAGCCTGGGTTCCTAACCTTGGACTCCATTACCTGTTCTAGCTGAAGCTCCACAACCACATGGAAGGTGACAGTAGAGACTGATGATTGTACCCTGACAACATCAGTAATATTACAGGACAGTACTTAAGGCAGCCAAAAACAGCCTCAGGTGATGGAAGTAGATAGCAGACAAGACAGAGTTTGGAGGTGATTAAACTGGGTGAAAAAGATGTTATCATTTAGTTTGTGGCAAACCATTGTCTGTATGGAAGATGTTGTCCTGCTTGTAAGCATTGCACACTTCCTGACAGCTCAGCCCAGAGGCATTTCGGGGGTTTATCTCACAGGTCACTTCATGTGGAACCATACCCTTTAAACATGTCTTCAGTGTGCTAACTCAAGCTGGTTTTTTTAATGCCATTTAAATCACTTAATTATATGAAAAGTTTTTTTAATTGCCCCAAACACAATGTCTGAGAGACATAATCAAAATAAAAGTCACTCGATTTCTTCACCGTGTTAAGATGTTTTAATACCAAAAATAAAATCCTCGTGGCACTTAATATTTCAGCTATTACAACACAAATTAGCGGAGCTTTCCTTGTGCGCGCTTACAGCTGATTAGCCAGGCAAGAAGATGACGGTAGCAATGCGTGTGATGGAGGGTGCGGGAGGGGGTTTTGAGAATTGCAATTAAATGCCAGGTAGCGACATGTCCTAATATTATGTATTTAAGTAATTATTAGATGTTTTAATTGACTGTATGTTGGCCTGGCGAGTTAATGCTAGGCAGTTACATACCTAGGTATAAAGCTAGACGTCGCATTCTGGACTTTATCACAAAACCTTTTTTTTTTTAGAAAAAAAAGGCTTTTTTTCAGTACTGTAAGTTAGAATATAAACTGCTCCTCGTCTGACAGATAATAATTAAGATATCTTCACATTACAGTATAGGGTGATAGTTCTGTAAATAAGAAATTGAGGTGTAATTGTTTGAAAGACAAGATGGCGAAATGGTAAGGAAATATCAATAATAATCCAAATTATAACAGTTGACCCTTGTATACAAAATAGTAAAGACTGAGAGATGAAGATTCACCTGATTGGTGTAATTATTTTACTATCGAGACACAAATATGCAGTACAATTATTGAAAGCTATTACACATTTGTAATGTTGAAATCTGGATTGATTTACTGTCATGATTTCTGTTGGTACAGGGTAATAGCAAGTGACCATTAGCATAATATAAGCACATACTTTTTCTTGATTTCTAGTACTCTGTAACTTCATTCTCTCTATATTCATTGAAAGAATCAGATATGGGATTTCCAATCAGTAACTTCCTTTACTGTACTACTTATTTTTCTTTGACATGATAAATGATAACACTGAGCGACTTCATGAGACACTTGAGAAGTCAGACAAAATCTCAGTATATGTACTATACAGTACTTGTGGATTTTCAGTCTGGATCACATTTGTCACAGAATGTCATCCTGAGTTCTTGTTATTCTTAAGAGTGTATCACTTTGTATCACTCTGAAGTAATGTTGTATACTGTAAGGTAAAGAAACAGTACTCGATTATTGATTTGTAGGTAGATTTTAATTTAAAGGGTCATATCAGAGGCTCATGGTTGACACAGTACTGTTGTAGGAACCTTTGTTGTAAGGATATTTACATTGCATATAGGTCTGTAATTCAGGGTTATGTCAGCTTTAAATCGTAAATTTAATCCCATGCAAAAATTCAGGTGAGTCAGGGAGGTATATAATATATATCCCCAGCTCAACTACATTTTTGCACTTTACAGGCTACAGTATAAAGAACTTTTGTACACACATACATTCAGAATTGGTCCAACTTTGAACCCCTGCTGTGGC